AAAAACAACTGTAGCAAGGTTACAAGGTTAATGTTCAAACGTCAATTGTTTTCCTGTATACCAGCAACAGACAAATGGAATTTGAAATTACAAACACATTACTGTCTATATTAGTATCCCTTAAAAAGTACTTAGATTTGAGCCAGGGATTTAGCTCAGTGGTTCTGCCTCCTGCCTTACAAGCGCAAGGTCCCAACTACACAACTAATGAAAGATATAAATAAATAAATAAATAAATAAATAAATGGAGAGCTACTCCATGTTCATGGATAGGAAGACTCAGTATTGTCAAATGGCATTTCTTCCCAACTTGATCATTATATTCAATACAATAACAGTGAAAATAGCCACATTATTTTATGGCTATTGACAAACTGATCCTAAATTTTAAATGGAAGGAAGGAGGAAGGGAGAGAGGGAGGGAGAGAGGGAAGGAAGGAAGGAGGGAAGGAGGGAAGGAAGAAAGAAAGAAAGAAAGAAAGAAAGAAAGAAAGAAAGAGAAAGGAGACCCTAGACACAAACCTTACACCTTTCACAAAAAAATAAATTCAAAATGAACCATAAACCCAAGTATAAAACACAAAACTATAATCTGGGTGACCGGAATGCTGACTCTTTAGATTCAACACCATAAAATAACTGACAAGCTGGAGTTCACTAAAATTTTTTAACTTTTCCTCTGCAAAAGACAATGTCAAGAAGTGGAATTGCTGAGTCACATGGAAAAAGTACAGGAGTTTTTAAGAAGCTGCCAAACCGTCCTCCAAAGTGGCTGTTGAATTGTGCAAAGATAAACCACAGAATGGGAGGGAATACTTGCACATGTTTCTGATAAAAGACTGTTAGCCAAAACATAAAAACTCTTAGAAATCAAAGAAAATGAACAACTCAGTCTTAAAATGTGCAAAAGACCATAAGAGACACCCAGTGAAAGATCTACAAATGGCAAATGAACATGTGAAAAATCTCAAACATCATGTTATTAGGTAATCACAAACTCAAACAACAGTGAAACGCCACTACACACCTACTAAAATAGCCAAAATCCAAAACATCGACAACATCAAATGCTAGCAAAAATGCGGAGAGCAAGAACAAGAGTTGTTCATTCATTGCTGATGGGAATGCAAAATGGCCCAGCTCCTTTGGAAGAGCTTGTCAGCTTCTCACAAAACTAACATAATTTTCCTCTATAATCCAGGAACTGTTCTTCAGGTTACTTATTCAAATGAACTGAAATGAACATCCACTAAAAAAAAAACTATATACTTATGTTTACAGTAGTTTCCTTTTTTTGGTACCAAGGATTGAACTTGGGTCCTTGAGCTTGCGCAGCAGGTGGCGAAACCACTGAGCTAAATCTCCGGCCCCTACAGTAGTTTTCTTTATAACTGCCAAAACTTAGAAGCAACCAAGATGTCCTTCAATGGGGAGAAGAGATAAACAAAATGCAATACACTCTGACAACAGAGTATTATTTGGTGCTAAAAATGAGTTACCAAGGTACAAAAAGACATGAAGGAAGCTTAAATGAATAGTGCTAAGTAAAAGAAGCCAATATGAAAAAGCTAAACATGTATGATTCCAATGGCTGTATATGACATTCTGGAAAAGAAAACTTGGGAGACAGCACAAAGATCCAAGATTGCCAGGGGTGAGTGGGGAAGAAGAGGTGAATATGTGCAGCATGGAGGGTTTTTAGGACAGTGAGACATCTTTCCTGTATGATACTACAGTGATGGGCACATGACATCATACAGTGGTCAAAATCCATTGAATATACACAGAGAGTGAGCCCCAAGGCAAGCTCTGAACTTTGGGTGAGAGTGAAGGCACAAGTTCAACTGTGACAAAAGAGGTGTGGGATGAAGCTGGTTGGCAGGTGGGGGCAGCAGACGGTCTATGGGAACTCTGTACCCTTCCATCAGTTTTAATGAAAAGGGGGGGGAGGGAGGGAAGAAGGGAGGCAGGGAGGGAGGGAGGGAAAGAGAGAGAGAACTTTCCTTTCTCCTTGTTCACTTCTGTACTTTTCATTTCACCTGTAAGACTCTTAAGAGAAGCTGATGTCCAGGAATAGCCCGGGAGGCTGATTAGAGAGGAAACTTCATTTTAGAAACCTGAAGGGGCAAAAGTTTCTGCTCCTGTAGGCCAAGATGGTATGAGTGCAGTAACTCCACTGCAGCCTGAGTCTTGGCTAAGACCTGACGCCACGGAAGCCTTTCTCCACCTCATCGTGCCTGTTCTACTGACCTTTAGATCCTACATAAATTGCAGGAACACAAGGGTGGAAAGAAGGCACTAGAAGGCAAACTTCAACTCAGTGCAAAGAAGCACTTTCAAGTACCCTTGGAAGCAGTGAGTTACCCAGAATCAGGATCAACATTCATCAGGGAGGTTGGTAAAGAGCTTCATACTTGAAGTATGACATTCTTTCTCACTCACAATGTATTCTGACCAGGAGAATCTGATATGGCTAGCACCCTGCCAGGCTGGTCCTGGGCATGTCTGATTTCCCATGTATGTGCCCACATGCAAGGCTGGGCTCTCATACTTCAGCCAGAAAAGGAAAGGAAGGCAGGCACCCTCCTCCAGTGTGTGGGAGGCAGGGGATAGGAGATGAGGCTGAGAGACTCACATACCCGCAGGGGACTTGCACCCAAGGAAGAGCATGGTCCTTCAGTCCTAGGCAGAGAGGCCCGGGATGGCTCTCCCTGTACTCTTCTCCTCAGGCCCCCAGAGTCCCAGACCCTTTCTGGCACATGGAGGGCATTAGGTTGTACTCCCAAGTGCACAATGCATGGCCCTCTCCACTACAAGAAGCCCTTCCCTGCATTCCATCCTGGTTGTAGCAATGAGTGCTCTCACCTACATTTCTCAGATGGAGAAACTGAAGCTTAGAGGCATCAACTGACAAGCCCAAGATCAGTCAGTCAGTTATAAAGTTGAAACTCTAATTCAGGCCTCATGGTGCCACCCCATGAGTCTTCCTTTAGGCCAGCCTGCCTGACAGACCTCACAAACCATCAGGAGAATCTTTATCACTAGGCCATTGTACCAAATGCCTGTGCAATGTGAAGCACACCTGGCAGTCTCTGCCCTGGAGTGGAGATGGGGAAGAGACAGGGAGACAGACCCATGGAATGGATGGCAAGTGAAGAAAGGAAAACTGATAGAATGACTCCTTGGTCAGGACAGGAAAAGATGCTGATCTATAGCACGTGGTGGACAAGGACTGCAGACCTGGGCACAGTTCTCTCTCTCCTGCTGGCCCAGAGCACCTGCCACTGCAGGTGCCAGCTGGGCCTGAGATTTACTCTAATTTTGCACCAAAAAAGACAGTTCATAGCTGACAGCCTCCCTCCAATGAGCGGTGGCATTAAGCAAGGCCTGTGTGCAATGGGTCTCTGCTGTCCTAATTTCCTGGCTAAAGACCTAGATAGAGTATCTAAATTTTCCTCCGGCCGAGTGTGCCCCAGATTTAGCCTCTCTGACGGATAAGTCTCCCTGCTGGTGGCTGTGTCCATCACCCCATCCCAGCCCAGCTTCTCCAATCGCCTGTCTTTAAGTTGCTGGTGACACACCAAAGTCCCACTCAAAACAGGACTGCGTGGCAAAAATGCCCAGACTCTAAGTGGGGACCCAGATGAGAGTCTGTGGACATGGAGACCCAGGCCCTGGGGAACAGAGAGACCCAGGAGGACAGTCCTCAAATCCAGGCTTCCAAATACACAGCCTCAACCTTTTTAATTATTTGTAATCAACAAATGACTTGAAATCCAGCCGGAAGAATAAATGGGCCAGAATAACTGATAAAATTTTAGAGAAAGAAAAATAAAAGTGGATTGTCTTACTGGATTAGAATCACAGGTCATTCCACATCCCAGGCAGGTGCTGCGCAGGCCGTGGGAAGGTTTGGGGTGCAAAGGGCACATGCGTTCCCTGACTGCGGAGGCCAGTGAGGGATGGTGAGGAAGTGCGGGGCTCCTGAGAGCAGGCACTGAACCTGTCTAGGCTGCTAGTCCCCGCCCTGCGGCTTACAGGCAAGAGGAAAAGGAAAAGGAAAAGTGACGAGGCAGAGAAGTGGACTCCATCAGGGCCTCCCGCCGTGGGCTTCTCCACACAGCCACTCTGTAGCTTTGGGTCTCAGACAGTTCATGTGCAGGATGTGTTGTTAATTAATAACAACATGCACTCATAAACACAGATGTTCATTATGCATGTACTAGGTGCCGAAAACTGAACACTTTATCGGTAACATTTTCCTTAATCCTCAAAACATCCCTAAGAAGATGGGTTCTATCGTTCTCCTCCTCTTCCAGATGAGAGTACTGACATTCATCAGGTTAATAACTTGCCTGAGGTGGAACAACTACAAGTGGTGAAAGTCAAATACAGATAGCTGGCTCCAATTCCACACTCCTACCCTACCCTGCCCTTCAGGTGGGAGTGGCTCCCCAGACCAGGCAAGGTCCACCCGGCCTGGAGATCTGACATGACATGAACTTTAGTGGGACCAATGAGCGTCTCCTTCACCCCACATGCTGCTTCAAGCCAATCATGAGCCTGCTCAGGAACTGTGTTGTCAACAGAGAAGGAAGGAACCCCAAGATCATCAAACTCCACCACCCTAATAGGCCCAGACCCCCATCTCTGGTTAACAGAGGCCATCCTAGTCTCCTGTGAGTATCAGTGACAAGCAGCTTACAAAATGCTTGGATAGCTTTTTCTTTGGATGGTGGTCCCTGACCCTTGTCTACTTTCCTTCTGAGTTGGCAAGGAAAAATACACCTCCATCCCAGAAGCTACAGCCAGTGGCAAGCATTGTCATCTCCCTTGGCCTTGCTGCACCACCCCATCTGACTTCCCAGCACATCCCCTGGGGGCCCAGGCCCCTGCATCCCACCGTGACACTCTGCTAGAAATACAAGCCAGCATGCTGTGGGCTGCTGAGGGCCAGGGCGGGAAGCGTGCCAGGTCTCAACATCTTCCAGTGCACCTACCTCTCTCTGCTCCCTCTGAAGGCACAGTTCTTCGGTCTCTTCCATCAGTTTGTCTGCCAAAGCAAGCACACATTCACAAAAGGTTCCCTCAGATCTGAGGTCCTGAGTGGACTCAGCCTCTCCCCACAAAGAGCCTAGAACCCCTGCTAGCCAGGGGCTGGGCCAAGCTCTGATGAGGGAAGCTACCTCCATGGCCTAAGCTGCTTCCTCCTTTCTGGCTGTCATCCCTGCTTTGTGCTTTCACAGGACCAGGACAGGACCTCATCCTTGAGTCTTTGCAGCCCCAAGGGCTGCCGTAGCCCTAGTCCTCACGCCCTGCACTAGTGTCTGGCTAGAGGGAGCGCAGAGCCCTGAGGTGAGGAAGGAGGTGTGCGCAGCAGGCAGAGGGGAACCAGTGCAGGGTTGCAAGTTTCAGTGGATAGAAGAGGACAGGGACATGCAACGAGCAAGGTCCCAGCTTCACCAGCTTCTCTTCCAAGTACAGGACCTGGGTAGGAGGACAAGGTCAGCTCCAGTTATGGATCTCTCACTACAAGCCCACCACGAGCACCCATAGGCATGTTTTCTTTGACTTCCACTCTGCCTCTAAAAGCTAAAGACTATTTTTATCTCCACTTTAAGGAGGAGGAAATCAATGTTAGAGTGGCTGAGTTCCCTAAAGACACACATAGCTGACCGGTAAGTGACAAGGTTGGGTTCAGAGTCCGGGCTCCTGGGCACCACAGTCTCTTGCCTACAGCCACATTGACCAAAAGAACATTTAAGGCTCAATGAAGCCTTCCAGTCACTCCTTACGTGGAGCCTGTTGAGCCCCACCTGAGACACCCCTCCCAAGCTCCCCTTAGGAACCCTCAGATCCCCTGCAGCCAACCTAAATACTCCTGCTTTTCTTTAGCCAACTGCAGCCCCTGGGCCTCCAGGCTTTTGATCATAGCTTCTCCCAGCTGGGCATTCTTCCAGGTCCTGGTGAGGGAGGGCAGATGGGACAGAGGAGAGAAGAAGAAGAAACAAAAACGTCAATTCGGAAAGGTGGAGGAGAAAGAGAATTCGCATGCTTTGTACTCGCCCATCCTCTCTCCAGAATCTCAGCTTGTGCTCACTGTCGCTGTGGCACCCAGGGCTCTGGGCACTACACCAACATCGATCAGTTACAGTGCTGGGAGCCTGACCTGGGCTGCAAAGAGGAGCACTAGGGACTGGGCGGAGAGTGCTTTCAGAACAGGAAAGAGATTACTTTCCAGGTGGCTTCTATGCCACTGCATGGTCACCACTGAGCACAGGCACAAGGTGAGACTCAGTGTTATTTTTTGGACCTAGGATAGGCATTTGTGTGCAAATAGACTGTGTTGTCTGAGGACCACTGTGTTCTGGACCCAGATTTACAAAGCACTAGCTCTGGCCCTCCCTAGGATTAATTACAGGCCTGGGCAGTGAAATGGTTTCAAGGAGGTGCCAAATACAACCAGTGACACTGAATCACTCCCAAGACTTGGAGATACATGATGTTCATCTCTACCACCTGTGACTAAAGACCCTTCCCAGGCTCAATCAGGGAACCTGCACAGGTGCTCTGAAATCTGGCCTGTTTCCTCTCTCCATCCTGGCCAGCTCCCGAAGCCCCATCTCAGTGCCCACCAGGATCCCAGATGACGGGCAGGGCATTCAGGACCCACAGGCAGCCCTCCAGGCTGAGCACTTACACCTTCCCAGACTCCTGCAGCATTTCCAGCCACTGTGTCTGCTCAAACTCGGACTCGGCGGCCAGCAGGACATTGCCCTGGTGGGAAGAGGAACCCACGGGCATGCCTGAGAGGCGGCTACGCTGGAGAGTAGGCCACTCTGCTCTCCAGCCACCCCAGGCACTGACCACACCAGCGTGCTTCGGGGCTGTTCGGGGGAGGCAGGAAGAAGCTGGGGTGCCCCCACTGAACCCAGGCTGAGGGATGCTTCACTCACATGGAAGTCCTGGTGTGAGATCTTCATGGCATAGGGCATGCTGGGCTCTTCCTTGGCCTCCACCAGGCAGCCCCCCAAAGGGATGACACCCTGAGGAGGAACCAGAGCAGCCCCACCCCACCAGCTCTGGTCACTCAGGGACCTCTGATAAAGAAAGCCAAAGGACCCAGTTGGACCAGACCCTGGGGCCACAAGACAGCGGCCAGAACTGACTCCCAGGAGGAAAAGGAAGGGCTGGGGAAGGCTTAGGGGCATATGAGGGGCTGGGGGTCTTGCGCTTTGTGAAAATTTGCTCTCAAAACTCCCTACTAGACCGCAGCAAGACAACAGAACCTTGTCTCCTATCATCCCCTGGTATCCCCATGAGCCCTCCTTCACTGTGGCCCTGGAAGGGCTGTCTCACCTTAGGATGTATATTGAAGTATTTGTTGGTTTCAAAGCTCTTTTTTTCGCTCTCAGAGTAGTAAAGGAGAAAGCTCTCCTTGATGATGAAAAACCTGCAGTGGGTGGTTGGGAGGGAGGACAAGCAGGACAGCATGAGGTCTCTCTAGACAACAGGAACGCCCCTGGGGGCCCCTGGGGACACCGGCTCAGGTTCCATATCTGCACGAAGCCTCAGCTGCCCACTTGGCCTCTCCTGCTCTCCTGGAGACGGGCTGGCCCTCGCATCAGGGTGGCCCCAGGCTGGCTGCCTCCACCCCCCTGAACTGCCACCCTTGGCACAGCAGGGCACTTTGGCCCCTTGGGGTCTTATCCTGGTGGGGTGGAAGGAGGGGAAGAAGATACACCATCCCAAGGTGGGCCTTTTGGTGTCATCTCAAGAGTTGGCAGCCGGGTGGACTTGGGCACCAGGCAGCCAAGGCCAGGTGTACAGGCCTTGAGCCCCCACAGGGTGGTGACACCTACATTCCCTTCTGTTTCAGATGCTCCATGGCCTCCTCCTGGGCCTCAGGCCTAACTTAGGAGCCCTAGGTCCTTGATCCTTCCTGTCTGTTGGGGAGATGAATCCTTGATAGCAACACATGGAGCACTTGGCCAACCTGGGGACTCTTCCAGAACTAATGACCAAAGCTGACTATGATTAAGACACCAAGTGCCAACTAGGGGAAGAGCCAGTTGGGCCTCAAAGCCCCTGAGGTTCAGAGACACTAGACTGACTGGCTGTTTCCTCCAGGGCCACTTTGTAGTGATGGGAACTGAATAGGATGTGCCGAAGAGTCAGCTGTGGGGTGTGTGTGTGTGTGTGTGTGTGTGTAAGTGTGCATGTGTGTGTGCTGCACATGCTTCAGGAGATTTCAGAGCAGCAGGATGCTGGAGGCCACAGTGGGGACTCACAACAGCAGCAGTGTGAATCTCTCGCCAGGTCTGTGTTCAGGAACATGGTATTCATGGCATGGTACTGCCCAGGGCTGGAGTATTTAAACTACGAGAATCAAATACTAGAGAACTGCCCTGCCCCTTCCCCAAGAGCCTGTTGTTAAAGAACTCCACCAGCTGGAAATGCCTTCTTGGGAGAGGCTTGAAAAACTGCTCATGGAACTCAAGTTCTCCAGCAGTCAGAGAATCTCTGAAGGTCTATTAGCCACGAGATCTTTCCCAAGGCCACAGCTGGGGTGGTCAGGCCTGGGACTGGGGACAGCTGCCATCTTCCTCTGCTGAGCCAAGTAACACTTGGCTTTGCACTTTATAAGACTTAAACCAACCTCCACCCCTTTTTGAGACAGGGTTGCACTATGTTACGTAGGGTGGTCTCGAACTCATGGACTGAAGCAACCCACCCAGCCCAGCCACATAACGAATGCAGTGCTGTGGACACTGCTCAGCCCAGCTCTTCCCCCGGGCCTTTCTGCCTGCTGTGGGAGAGAGCACAGGAACACCACCCACAGAGCTCCCGTGGCATTCTGGCCCTCCAGGGGCCAACCCTGCCCACCTCTCAGCTTTCCTGCCGCTCGTGAGGTCGCTGCCTCCTTTGCTGGTCCCAGGACCTCTCAAAGGGAGACCGTGCTGCCCAGCCTGGAACCTGCCACCCCTCTTCACCCGGCTGAGCCTCCTCTGACTGAGGATCAGCCCAGCCTGCACTGACATCCGTGCCCTGCTGCACTCGGCCACCAAGCTGGGCACTTGGCATGTGGCGCCCACTGCCACACCCCCATGCTCCTCTTGTCTGGAGAGGGCCCCTGGGCTCCTGGAGGGTGGGGCTGTGCCACTTGAGTTCCATGGACAAGGTATTTAGTCATTTTCCAGCTTGGGTTGGGGCACTTGGGCAAGAGAGCGCAGCTCTCTGGGCCTTGGTCTCTTTGACTATGGAATGGTTGTGACCACACCTACCTTATGTGGCTACTGTGAGGGCCAGATAAGATTAGCAGAGGACCCAGGACAGGGCTGAAGGACGCATGGTCTGACATGTATCTCCGCATGAAAGGTGAGACCAGCAGTGCAGAGCTGCTTCCACCTCCTTCAGCCACTTCTGAAGTATTACACTGTGTTCCCCATCATCACCCAATTCATATGTTGAAGCCCTAACTACAAATGTGGAGGTAATCAAGGTTAAATGAGCTAATAAAGGCAAGGCCCTAATGCAACAGGACTGTGGCTTCATGATAAGAAAGGTCTCTCTCTCTCTCTCTC